GAGGGAAGGGAATACTGCAGTAAATCATAAGACGAAATGACGAATAATCGGATATTACAAAGAGCTTTGCTTCATCCTCTTCCTCCCCCCCCCACCCCCACCCCCACCCCGCTCCCTACCATCCTTCTGAATTTCAGTTGCTTCCCTAGTTGATTTGAAGCTGGAAGAGAATATGGAACCTATAATTATGATGAAACTATGATGATGATGATGATGATGATGATGATGAGGAACCACCTCCATGGCGAGAGACGAGTAATGCGCGATAAAGTGCAGCTACGTGCAGGAAGCATATGAAGACGATAATGGCATCGTCGAGAAGGCCTATTATACCCAAAACTCCTGATAGATCCAACATAAGAATGATAGAAGATTGAGATATATAACACCTTGTTAATATTCGAAGGGGGGAAAGGAACTTCCTTTAATATCGAAAACCAGTTTACATATTAAAAAAAAGGGCGAAAGAGAGGGCTTAAATAGTACCTTCTGGAATAATGTCGATAGGGCTGAGGACGTAGAGCACACTTAAAAACGTCTGCAAATTGAAGAGTCCATAAATAATATAAAAAATTGCATAAGGCGATGTCTGGTTGCAGATGAAAAAACTTAGTGTGGAATAAATTTTCCACCCAAAATATGTCTTCCTTAAATATACTGTGATAGATGTTTTCCTGGAAACATAAAGTTCTTTTATGAATAATACTCTTCCAGTCCCAAAAAAAAAGAGGCTTCCTTTAAAATTTATTTGGCCAAAAAAAAATCACATTTGTAATAAAAGAAAATAATTTCATTCTTATTTCATGTACGAGTATAAAATATGGAGTAGTTTTTAACAAATATCTAAAATGAATTCATTGTGCATTGATGACCTAACTGCCCATGTTGGATCCCCACCCCCAAAGTTGAATATACATAGAACTGTAATGTGCATTGATGACTTAACTGCCAGATAAACGCGTGCCCTGATGAAAAAAGGAAGAGATCTCTGAGGGTCTGTAATATCTCGTAACAATCTCCTGAGGAGAAAGGGAAGATCTTGCAATTTCTGTCACAGAAAGTATGAACATGTTAAGATATTATTGTGTTTCTTGACTGGGTCAAAAAATAAAAGTAATGACACCATCTACAGTTTACTGCATACTCCCTCCGTCCCCAATTTGATTACAAATTGCGGGTTACGGAGTAAAATTTCCTACTTTTTGAAATCATTTTATTTACAAATTGGTATATCAATAAGTTATAAAAATTACATATTAAAAAACTACGTCAAAAGTTCTACAAAATAAGAGGTGACAAGAATATTTTATTTTATCAAATACTTGATGAAATCGCGTAAACAAACAAAAGTTATCGAGAGGAGAGAGAAAAAAAATTGTAATCAAATTGGGGACGGAGGGAGTATGCAGTAAACTGTAGATGGTGTCATTACTTTTATTTTTTGACCCAGTCAAGAAACACAATAATATCTTAACATGTTCATACTTTCTGTGACAGAAATTGCAAGATCTTCCCTTTCT